ATCCCTGGAGAACTCTGCCTGCCTGCCTGTCAGGGTGCAAAGTTGAGCAGAGCACAGTCTGATTTCCACTCCACCTTCCCGCATGGACGTTGTGCTTTTAACCTCTGCTTGCAGATTAAACGGGCACGACCGTGGCCAGTGCTTCACTAACTGACTGATTACTCAGGAAACAGCATTTCTGTGTTTGGGTTTAAATGGGACCCTCCGCCCCGTCACTGCTTGTGGCCCAGATGATCTTTTGTTGGGTTGTCTAAGAACCCCTGCTCTGGGGGGGGGGTCCCTTCCACTGGCGTGGATGTCCCCTGAGCCAGTGGCACCCGAGGGACTGTGGCCTACTTGAAGGGAGCCCCAAAGACCTGGGTTGGGGGGTAGGCTGGAGAGGCAGGGAGGGGCAGAGGGGCAGTGCAGTCTGAAGAAACATATTTAATGGTGAAGCGTACCTGGAAAAAGAAAGGTCCGCTGTCGTTTTCATCGTGCGGAACCAGAGGACACAGTCTGACAGGTTTTCCTGGCTGTTTGGTTTTGGCTTAATAGGGCTGGTCACACGAGCTGGTGACACATTTTCACAGGGGCCAAGCGTCCAGCCGGTCTTGGGATGGGGAGGGAGCACGGGCAGAGGGACCCACTGGTTCTGGATGTTGGCACTGGGCCGTCTTGGGCGGCCGCCCCTGGGCACCTGGTCAGCTCACTCCTGTGCTGTGTCCTGTTGTCTCCTCAGCTCACGAGATCAGGAACCAATTTGTCAGCCTGCGTTTGCGGGTGACATCATCCCAGACCACAGGCTGCTTGTTAGATATTAATTGTTAACAGCTCTGGGCAGCTAGCAGTGAGTCAGATGAGCAGTTGGGGTCAGACAATCAGACAGTGAGGACCCTGGCCTGTTAGGGGAGGCTCAAGCGTCCCCGAGTAAAGAGGTCATGGCAGCCACCCTGAAGGTCATGGGGAGGCCAGGTGAGGTCATGCTCACCTGTGCATGTTTGGTGCTCACGTACTAGGTTTTGTGCCTGGCCCTGTGCACACCCTTGGGGCAAAGATCCAGACAGGACATGACATCTGAGCCACAGGGCTGCTGGGAGCTGGACCTGGGCCCTCCCAGCCCTGTCCTTGGGTTGAGCCAGTCCATGGGTGCCCCCCGGGTGAATGGCCTCTCTGCTCTCCTGGAGTGGCTGGAGTGGCTGGAGGGGGCCGTGAGGCCTCTCATGCTTGCCTGGGGAATCGCCTGCCCCAACCTGTCCCAGTTTCCTACGTGGGTCTCGGGGTCCCCTGGGGTTGTAGAGTGTTTGGACGCCTCCTCGTGGGGGTGAGTGGCTCCCCTTAACCCCTGTGGTGGTTGCACCTGTCCAGAGTCCCGCAAACTCAGCACGTGGACCACACGGACTGAGGCCTGGGCTGGTCTTCCTGCAGTGACTTAATTCCACACTGACCCTGTGACAGAACCCCAGGCTCACAAAGGGAAGTGATTGGCCTGAGGTCACAGTAGTTGCAGGCAGGTCTGGGCTCCAACCCACTCTTTTTTTTTTGGCTGCGTTGGGTCTTCATTGCTGTGTGCGGTCTTTCTCTAGTTGTGGAGAGTGGGGCTACTCTTCATAATGGTGCGCGGGCTTCTCATTGTCGTGGCTTCTCTTGTGGAGCACGGGCTCTAGGCACGCGAGCTTCAGTAGTTGTGGCGCACGAGCTCAGTAGTTGTGGCGCACAGGCTTAGTTGCTCCGTGGCACGTGGGATCTTCCTGGACCAGGGATAGAACCAGTGTCCCCTGCATTGGCAGGCGGATTCTTAACCAGTGCACCACCAGGGAAGTCCCTCCAACCCACTCTTAATCACCTTTGCAGAAAAGACTACCCTCACCTCAGGAGAGGGCTGGCCTCTTTCCTGGGCTCCTGGATGGTTGGAATGTCCTGCCTGAGAAGAGTTATCTTTGTTTACCTGCAGCCTTGGGCCATGCGAGGTGGTCTACACCAACAATGACCTATGGTGGAGTCCTTGGGCTGCACGGCATCAGCTCGACCTCTGGAGGGGCTGGAGCCTGAGGTTGGTCATGTAGGCAGCCAGCTGTCACCGGCCCCAGTAAGAGCTCTGGATGCCAAGGCTCAGGTGAGCTTCCCTGTTGCCATACCCGTGCACTGTGTCCCACACCAGTGTCAGGAAAGTAATGCTGCCTGTGACTCTGCAGGGAGAGGACAACGGAAGCTCCACTTCTGGAACTTTCCCTGGATTCTGCCCCATGCAGCCTCTTGGCTGATTTGAATCTGTGTCTTTTCCCTGTAACACTCTGTAACCATGTTATATCAGCTTTCAAGGTGAGTTCTTTGTGTCCATGTAGCAAGTTATTGAACCTGAGAGTGATCTTGGGGAGCCTGAAACCTGTGAGTGGTGTCAGAGGTGAGGGCAGTCTTGGGGACCCTGAAATGCACACCATCTCACTGGCGCTTCTCAGCTCAGGAACTTTTACACATGAAACTAAAAGTGTTCCCCAAACTTATCCAGATGGGCCAGAGACGAGACCCCAGTGCTGTCCCCACCACCGCTCCTCTGACTTTCCTCTGCCCCCGGGCAAGTCCGACTCCTGGGCCTCCACCTCCAGCCTCTCTGTGCACGAGTGGACTTCAGTGCACTAAGCTTCCAGACCTGTGGTCCAGGAGCGCCGCTGCCCCTCAGGGAGCCTCTGGGCTGCCTGGCACCTGCCAGCCACGTCCTGGTGCGCAGTCATCTTCCTCCAGAGGAGACGGTCACGCTATTGTGTCCCCATACCCGACACAGGTGGACTGTATTGTCACCGGCAATGCATTTTCCTATCCCTTTACAGCTCTGCATATCACAGCATAGCCTTCACTGATCGACTGGCAGGGGAGGCACGGTTTTGTTTGGAATGGGCACCCATGAGCCTTTCTCAGGCTCTCCTGGTTGGATTGCCCACTCGTGTGCAACGGCCTCTGATGTGTAGGAGACCCTTAAGCCAAAGTCACTGATCTTCCTCCACGCGTAAATGTGGGTTCCAGGCATTGCTTTTTTATTGGAAAATGTCAGATTATACACAGTACACCAAATTCTAGGTGGTCTAAAATATTTTCCAAATAATAGAAAATTTGAAGAGAACTAAGCATCAGATTTTTGGTAACTGTAAGGAGAAATAATATAAAGAGAAAGATTTAAATACATAAAATATAAAGACTTCGAACTAAAAAAGAAAAAATCCAAAGTAAGTGTGAATGCTGCTGACAAGTCAGAGGTGGGAGATAATGGCTGAGAATGGTGTCACCAGAGTGAGGGGGACCCCAAAGGTCATTCCAGCCTCTGATGGGACTTCCAAAAAGGGCAGACTGCCCTTAGGTCCCAGCAGGTCACGTGCTACTCCTGCTTCTTGGAAAGGCAAGTGGCAAAAATGCATGTTCCAGGCTCCTTCCCAGGGAGAGGGGCGCTACAGCTCGCCACCCAGGTGAGTGCAGCTGAGAGCAAGAATGACAGAGTAGGTGCGCTTCCTTTGGCAAGGTGGGGAAGCGAATCATACGTTTTGCAATGATTTCCCCGAGAACCCTAACTTACTTGCAAGATTCAGCAATCAGAATGATTTGCACTGCGTGACTCAAGTTGTCCTGTGATGTTTCCCAAAAAACATCCCTGTACATTGAAACTACCTGACCTCTTATTTTCATCTTGACTACAACATGACCATTTCTTTTTTTTTTTTCCACCAGAGCATTACCTTTTTCTTCCCTTTTTAAAAAAACAATATATATTTTTAATTGAAATATAGTTGATTAACAATGTTGTGTTAATTTCTGCTGTGCAGCAATGTGATTCAGTTATACATATATATATATATGTATATATTCTTTTCTAAAATATTCTTTTCCATTATGGTTTATCATATGATATTGAATATAATTCTCTGTGCTATACAGTAGGTCCTTGTTTATCCATTAAACGTTAACATTATATATAAAAGCTTCCATCTGCTAACCTCAACCTCCCACTTCATCCCTCCCCAACCCCCTCCCCCTTGGCAACCAATAGTCTGTTCTCTATGTCCAAGATTCTGTTTCAAAAATAGGTTCATTTGTGTCATATTTTAGATTCTACATATAAGTGATATCATATGGTATTTGTCTTTTTCTTTATGACTTACTTCACTTAGTATGATAATCTCTAGTTGCATCTATTGCTGCTGCTAATGGCATTATTTTGTTCTTTTTTATGGCAGAATAGTATTCCATTGTATATAAATAGACCCCATCTTTATCCATTCATCTGTCAATGGACATTTAGGTTGCTTCCATGTTTTGGCTATTATGAATAGTGCTGCTATGAGCATAGGGGTGCATGTATCTTTTTAGATTAGTTTTGTCTGTATATATTCCCAGGAGTAGGATTGCTGGATATGATAGTTCTATGTTTAGTTTTCTGAGGAATCTCCATGCTGTTCTCCATAGTGGTTGTACCAGTTTACATTCCCACCAGCAGTGTAGGAGGGTTCCCTTTTCTCCACACCCTCTCCAGTATTTGTTATTTGTAGACTTTTTAATGATGGCCATTCTGACTGGTGTGAGGTGGTACCTCATTGTAGTTTTGATTTGCATTTCTCTAATAATTGGCGATGTTGTGCATTTTATCACATGGCTGTTGGCCATCTGTATTTCCTCTTTGAAGAAATGTTTGTTTAGGTTTTTCTGCCCACTTTTTTTTTTTTGTGGTACGCGGGCCTCTCACTGTTGTGGCCTCTCCCGTTGTGGAGCACAGGCTCCGGACGCGCAGGCTCAGCGGCCATGGCTCACGGGCCCAGCCGCTCCGCAGCATGTGGGATCTTCCCGGACCGGGGCACGAACCTGCGTCCCCTGCATCGGCAGGCGGACTCTCAACCACTGCGCCACCAGGGAAGCCCTGCCCACTTTTTAACTGGGTTGTTTTTTTTGTTGTTGAGTTGTATGAGCTGTTTGTACATTTTAGAAATTAAGCCCTTGTCATTTGTTTGTAAACATTTTCTCCCACTCTGTACATTGTCTTTTTGTTTTGCTTATGGTTTCCTTTGCTGTGCAAAAGTTTGTAAGTTTGATTAGGTCCCATTTGTTTATTTTTGTTTTTATTTCTATTTCCTTGGGAGACTGACTGCCTCAGGTACGATTTGTCAGGCAATGTTTTGCCTATGTACTCTTCCATGAGTTTTATGGTGTCATGTCTTATGTTTAAGACTTTAAGCCATTTTGAGTTTGTTTATGGTGAGAGTGTTCTAACTTCATTGATATACATGCATCCAACTTTCCCAACACCACTTGCTGAAGAGACTGTTTTTTTTTCTTTTACCATTGTGTATTCTTGCCTCCTTTGTCAAAGATTAATTGACCATGGGTGTGTGGGCCTATTTCTGGGCTATTCTGTTCCATTGACTCATATGTTGGTTTTTGTGCCAATACCACAGTTTTGATTACTGTAGCTTTGTACTGAGTTGGCCAAAAAGTTCAGGTTTTTCCATAAGATGTTACAGAAAAACCCGAACGAACTTTTTGGCCAACCCAATAGTATTGTCTCAAATCTGGGACGGTTATGCTTCCTGCTTTATTCTTTTTTATAAATTTATTTATTAATTTATTTTTGGCTGCATTGGGTCTTCATTGCTGGAACTTGTGTCCCCTGCATTGGCAGACGGATTCTTAACCACTGCGCCACCAGGGAAGTCCCCTGCTTTGTTCTTTTTCCTCAGGATTTCTTTGGCAATTCTGGGTATTTTATAGTTCCATATGAATTTTAGGATTATCAGTTCTAGAAGTTTTCGTGTGGAGTCTTTAGGGTCTTCTACATATTTAGTTGGTGAAAAAGTGCCTTTGGCTTTTAAGTAAAAATAAAAGACACACTTTTAATTTTCACCAAGAATTTTATTGAACAACGTATTCACTCTTTTGTTCTACCTTCCGCCATTTTTCAGGCAACTTCATAATTCCATCTTCCCAAAACTTTTTTTTAAAAATATTTATTTATTTAATTTATTTACCTTTGGCTGTGTTGGGTCTTTGTTGCTGCATGTGGGCTTTCTCTAGTTGCGGCGAGCAGGGGCTACTCTTTGTTGTGGTGTGCAGGCTTCTCATTGTGGTGGCTTCTCTTGTTGCAGAGCACGGGCTCTAGGCGTGTGGGCTTCAGTGGTTGTGGAATGCAGGCTCAGTAGTGGCTCCCGGGCTCTAGAGCACAGGCTCACCAGTTGTGGTGCACGGGCCTAGTTGCTCCGCAGCATGCAGGACCTTCCCGGACCAGGGCTTGAACCGTGTCCCCTGCATTGGCAGGCGGATTCTTAACCACTGCGCCACCAGGGAAGCTCCCACAAAACTTTTTGAGCAAAGAACTGTTCCGGGTGCCTTTTACAGTCTTCCAGGGAGTTGAAATTTTTTCCATTAAGAGAATTTTGTAAAGACCTAAATAAATGGAAATCCAAAGGTGCAATGTCTGGTGAATATGGCGGATGAATCAGAACTTCCCAGCCAAGTTGTAGTAGTTTTTGCCTGGTCATCAAAGAAACTAGTGGTCTTGCATTATCCTGATGGAAGATTATGCGTTTTCTGTTCACTAATTCCAGATGCTTTTCAATGAGTGCTGCTTTCATTTGGTCTAATTGGGATCAGTACTTGTTGGAATTAATCGTTTGGTTTTCCGGAAGGAGCTCATAATAGAGGACTCCCTTCCAATCCATATACACAACATCACCTTCTTTGGATGAAGACTGGCCTTTGGTGTGGCTGGTGATGGTGCATTTCTCTTGCCCCACGATCTCTTCCATTTCACATTATTGTACAGTATCCACTTTTCAATCACCCATCACAATTTGTTTTAAAAATGGAACATTTTCATTATGTTTAAGTAGAGAATTGCATGGGAAATACAGTCAAGAAGGTTTTCTCTGCTTATGTGGAATGCAAACATCAAAGTGATGAACATAACCAAGCTGGTGCAAGTGATTTTCAACGCTTGATCTGGATATTTTGAGTACGTTGGCTATCTCCTGTGTGGTATAATATTGACTGCTCTCAATTAATGTTCTCTGTTTGATCGCTATCAACTTCAACTGGTCTACCCGACCACAGAGCATCATCCAGCGAGAAATCTCCAGTAAGACTTTGCAAACCACTTTTGACACGTTCGGTCCGTCACAGCACCTTCTCCATACACTGCACAAATCTTTTTTTGCATTTAGGTTGTGTTTTTACCTTTTTTGAAATAATAAAGCATAATATGCTGAAAATGTTGCTCTTTTTCTTCCATCTTCAATATTAAAATTCAAGAGTTTTGATACGTCTTTTTTTAAATGCATGCTGATATGACAGCTGTCACATACAGGCTAACGAAATTGTTTTTAATGAAGTTAAAGACAATTAAGTGCTACTGAGCCATCTTAAAGAAAGAGCCGAATGAACATTTTGGCCCACCCAGTAGTATTCAGATCATCTGCAAATGATGGCAACTTTACCTCTTCCCTTCCAATTTGGATGACTTTTATTTCTTTTTCTTGTCTGATTGCTGTGGCGAGGACTTCCAGTACTATGTTGAATAGAGGTGGTGAGAGTGGGCAGCATTGTCTTGGAACATGACTGTTTCTTACTCTTACTTCCACACGATTAGGAATTGTGTCCTGAGTAGTGGTGGGCTCAGCTGAGTAGCACTGGGAGTCAGATGCCAGTCATGGACTGAGTCAAAAAGTTTGGTAGCTTCCCTGTGATCTCAGTTCCTCTCTCATGTTACACCTGAGTGATGTAAGCTCCTCTCAGCAGTGCCTGCAGAGAGGGGAAAACAAGCTTCCACCTGCATCAGTGATTGCTGTGGACCTAAGGATCAACACTCTAGGACTTCCCTGGTGGCACAGTGGTTAAGAATCCACCTGCCAATGCAGGGGACAAGGGTTCGAGCCCTGGTCTGGGAAGATCCCACATGCTGTGGAGCAACGAAGCCTGTGCGCCACAACTACTGAACCTGTGCTATAGAGCCCAAGAACTACAGCTGCTGAGCCCGTGTGCCACAACTAATGAAGGCCGTGCGCCTGGTGCCTGTGCTCTGCAATGAGAAGCCCGCACACCAGAACTAGAGAAAAGCACACGTGCAGCAACGAAGACACAACACAGCCAAAAAAAAAAAAAAAAAAAGTGATCAACACTCTGGTCCTTGATTTTTCCTGAGAAGCTGATATGTTCTCAATAGAGAGAAAAAACTTTTAAAAATTATGAATAAACTAGATTACAGTATACGACAATGAATACTAGACTCTCTTGGAACTAGGAGTAAAAAATGAAAGAAAACCCTCAGTCATAGCAAAAGAAATATCAGAAAGATTAAACAAAAAGCTATTTGAGAATTTTGATTTAAAAGTATGTGCCAGGGGCTTCCCTGGTGGCGCAGTGGTTGAGAGTCCGCCTGCCGATGCAGGGGACACGGGTTCGTGCCCCGGTCCGGGAGGATCCCACATGCCGCAGAGCGGCTGGGCCTGTGAGCCATGGCCACTGAGCCTGTGCATCCGGAGCCCGTGCTCCGCAGCAGGAGAGGCCGCAGCAGTGAGAGGCCCGCATACCGCAAAAAAAAAAAAAAAAGTATGTGCCGAAGAACTGTCTTTTTAGTAACACTATTTTTGGGAAACACCATAGTGTATAAAGAGGCACCCACGTGGTGTAGCAGCTGTAAGGTCTGGGCTCTGAGTGTGAAGAGGCCTCCTAAGCCTACATGGGCCCAGAAGCCCAAGACATCCCATGATTTCTGTGCACAGGTTTTGAGGAAAAGATCCATTTTTGAGTTGTATCTTCACTAATAAGTAAGTTAGGACCTCCCTTCTGATCTTGAAAAGTTAAAGGAGTAGATGAAGGGTTTTCTAAATTTACATAATTTCTCACTAATTAATCTTTAGAGTCCCGCCCCCCCACCCCCCTGCCACCCGGTTTTCATACAAAACAAGTGGTTCCACACACACAGGATTTTCAGCCATAATACATTACGACACTTAGTGACAATCTTTTTTATGTCATTTTATCCACACAGTATTGTAGTGCTTAACAGAATACTGAAAATATCGTCCAACATTCTAATTTTAAGTGCAATACTCAGAACAGTTGTTGAGTTTAGGAAAAAGGCATATAATGTTCTAAGAAAAAACCCTCTATTTGGAGTGTGAGGAAGTTTTACTGTGACAGTAACTTCCTTTACTTCCTCACTTCTAATAAACTAACGTTAAATAATGAATTGTAACTGTCTTCACCAAAATTCTCTACAATTGTGTAATTACTCTGCAGTGTAACCTCAAGAAGTTGAGAGAAAAAAATGAGGCATCCTCTGAAGTTCTTCCAGAGACATGTCAGTGCTTCCCTTCTCAGTGATACTTGGTGACGCTGACGGGCACCTCCCTTGGACTGGAGGCTTCCTGGGGCCGGGTGCCCAAGTTCCCAAGTGCAGGTTCGCGTGCGGCCAAGGTCACAGCTTCCTGTGTACCTTCTGGTGCTGGATCAGGTGGCCGTGCTGGTTAAAGGCGCGGCCGCACTCCCCACATTCATAGGGCCTCTCGCCTGTGTGGATGCGTTGGTGCTGCACGAGCACTGAGTACTGGCTGAAGGCCTTGCCGCAGCGGCTACACTCATAGGGCCTCTCGCCTGTGTGGGTCCTCAGGTGCACGATCAGCGTGGCCTTCAGGCTGAAGGCCTTGTCGCACTGTGCACAGCGGAATGGCCTCTCACCCGTGTGGACCCGCTGGTGCTGGACCAGGGACCTGCGGGCACTGAAGGCGTGGCCACACTCGCTGCACACGTAGGGCTTTTCGCCGGTGTGGACCCGCTGGTGCTGGGTCAGGTGGGAGTGCTGCACGAAGGCCTTGCCGCATGCGTAGCAGCCATAGGGCTTCTCCTCGGTGTGGATACGTTCGTGGTTCAGGAGGGTGGAGCGGTGCCGGAAGGCCTTGCCGCACTCGCTGCACTCATAGGGCTTCTCGCCTGTGTGCACGCTGTGGTGCTGGATGAGGACGGAGCGGTCGCTGAAGGCGCGGCCACACTCGCCGCAGGCGTAGGGCTTCTCCCCGGTGTGGACCCGCTGGTGCTGGAGCAGTGTCCTCTTCACGCTGAAGGCACGGCCACACTCCGCGCATGCGTGCGGCTTCTCCCCGGTGTGCACCCGCCGGTGGCTGCGCAGCACAGTGCTGTGGTTGAAGGCCTTCCCGCACACGCCGCACACGTAGGGCCTCTCCCCGGTGTGGATGCGCTGGTGC